TTAGAAGAAGTTTGAACTAAAATGACTGGTAAAATAGTTTTTTTAGTACAATGTTCCTTTTTTAGTAACCTGTTTCAGTTTTGTCGTTAGTCTTTTTAGAATATTTTAAGTAAGTATTGTTTTATTTTTTAGAGCAGTTAAGAGGAGCTGATGTATTTTTTAGTAAGTTCAATTCATTTTATTATTTATAGATTAAAATTATTTTTTGTAGGAGGATTAATGAGAATAAAATTTTATGTATTTAACTTAAAAAGTTATATAAAATAAGACTGTTATTGTGGACATGTAAGTACATATACATAAATTTTCATTTATTTCACTATATATTATAATTCTCTATATCTATATGTATATTTTCTCTTAGAAAAAATAATTAGGAAATAGGAAAATTAAAAATAATTCTTCTGGAATTTGTCAAAGGAACGTTGTGTTAGGCTTCATTTTAAGGTATCTGAATATTTATTTATTTGAAATTTTGAATTTTGTTCTGGTTTCATCGTTGATTGGTTTGGATGGTTTGGATGGTTTGTGTGGTTTGGATGGTTTGGTTGGTTGGATGGTTTCACTTTTAGATAAATATATACTGGCTGATATAACTTCATTTTTATTAACAATGTTGTGCATTTTTGCAGTCTGAATTCTTTGTTACACTAAAAATTATTGATGCTAATAAATGTTTTTTTTATAGTTGTTAAAAGTTTGCATATATGTTTATATTATGCTCAAAGTTAAAAAAGTTTTTGATAAATATGTGTATGTAATGATATATGTTATATAGTTGTTTTATAAATGTGTTTTTATAATAGTATGAAATGTATTTAATCAAATGTGAATATGATTGTTAAATGAGGTGTTTTTTTTATAATTTTTTTTTTTTTTATTTTGTAATTTTTTTTTTTAATTGTAATTTTTTTGTTTAAATTTGTAATATCTTTTGAACAATATATTCTGTTGTATATTTGATTTGTTTTCGTCTTTTTTAATTAAAATGAAAACTAAACTAAATTCAAAATACAGTTAAATTGATTCATTATCCAATTATCATAGTATAATGATGCTACATTCAATAGTTAAAAAAAATATATTGCACTTGCTGCTTTTAAAATTTACTTAAGCCAAGACAATATATTTAGCTATATAAATGCAAATAATTTATATCTCAATTTGATTTTATATCTTAAATGTTTATAGTTTAGCTCCTTAAAGCATGATGTCTTCATAATGTCTCCTAAATTAAACTAAAGTTTACTGAAAGCAGTTTACTTAAGCAGCCGTGGCGCAGTGGTAGCGCACTTGCTTCAGAAACGTTAGATCCGTGGTTCAAACCCCACCTCTGGGCAAGTTTTGCGACATCGGTTGGGAAAGAAGCGTGAACTTCCTATTAAATGCTCTTCCGCGGTGCTCTGTGATAAGACCGTAAGGACTTCTTGGGGCACCTTAATCAACTTAAAAAATTAAAAAAAAAAAAAAAAGCCAACATTAAATAACGTCATTAAATAACACCGACAAGAACTGCTGCATCATGACAGCAACTGAAGTAAGATAACAGGTTACCAAAAGCAGGTAAATTGTTTTCCACTCATTTTTTTTTCCTTTTTTTTTATGTCTACTTTTTTTTATGCCTTTTGTATGCCTACTTTTCTGTGACAATTTTTATTTTAGGTTTGTCGTATGACGCAATATAAAAGATCAAAATTAACATTTTTTAAAAAAATTTGTTATAAACATGTTTGATTGTAAAGTATTTAATATATATATATATATATATATATATATATATATATATATATATATATATATATATATATATATATATATATATATATATATATATATATATATATATATATATATATATACATATATATATATATATATATATATATATATATATATATATATATATATATATATATATATATATATATATATATATATATATATTTTTTTTTTTTTTTTTTTTTTTTTTTTTTTCTTGAAACGTTCTAAAGCCCGTTCTCCATTCAGAACTTTTTGCGCTTTGGAAAAGCGGAAAAGTTCTTTGAGCATGCGCAAACAGTTTTTTTAAGCCCGTTAACCAATCAGAACTTTTTGCGCATGCTCAAAGAACTTTTCCGCTCCTCCAAAGCGCAAAAAGTTCTGAATGGAGAACGGGCTTTAAGGTGGCTCAACCCTCTTAAAAATGTGAAAAAAAAAAAAAAAAATCATATTTTTTTTTATTGCTTCTTTATCTAGTTTAAGCATTGCAGATTCCAAAAATATGTCATTTGAGATAAGTTATACGTTCCATCATAAAGAAATTTACATTTTTATGGTGTAGGGTTAAAAATGTTATCCATAGCAACACCTTAGCAACCGTGTCAGCTTTGTTATATCTGCCCATTTTTTGACAAAAAACTTATAATTTTGAACAACAAAATGCATTTTTTACTTTGTCTACTTTGTTTTACGGCATTCTGTTATTTACAAGTTATAGTTTTTATTTAAATGATGACATTTAATTAACAAAAAATAATGTTGTTTATGTTGTCTTGAAGTCAACACAGTGGCTTCATCCAATATTTTTTATCTATCTTAATAATACAAATAACTGCACTTGTTCTTTATATGTTTATAGAGTGATTAAATATGGGTAATAATAAAAATAAAATAAGATTAATCAGAAAAAGATCAGAAAAAGTTTTTATCTAACAGATATACATGTGCTACAATAAATCAAATTGATAAACCAATAGTAAAGGAAGCTGTTTCATCATCAAAAATTAGTTTAGATAATTCACTTTTAACTGTTGAAAAAGAAGATTCTAACTTCTTTATAATAATTCACTTTGGAGTACTGCAAAGTTGTCTTCAACTTTTGAGTAGATGCCTAGAATGTGGCGACAAAGTCACTGTCAGTCTTGACCAAATAAAAAAATTAGGACTTTCGCATAACATTAAACTAGAATGTACTAGAATGTATATCTTGTGATTGGAGTTATAATTTTTACTCATCTCCTGCAATAAAAAATAAACACATTCAAGAAGTCAATGTACGTGCTGTAATGAGTTTTCGCGAAATTGGTTGTGGACATGAAGCTTTAAAGACATTTGCTGGATGATGAATATGCAACCTCCAATGACTTTTAATTCATATAAAAACATTAATAATCTTTTACATTATGTTTATGACTCTGCTTCATCTAAATGTATGAAATTTAGATGAAGCAGAGTCATACTGGGGCACACTAGTTTCATGTTTGTATACTATTTATTTCATTTTTAATTTTGTTTTTCATTTTTCTCAGAAATAAGTTTTTGTTACGTTCACTTAGATTCAAACAACAGTTTTTAGTACTTCTGTTTAACCGATTGACTTGAAATTTTTACAGACTTTTCTTTAATATTGGAACTTGGTTCTGAACTAAAAACAACTATTTAGAACAAATGGATCTTGTATAATTGCACTTTGATTTGCTAAAATGACCTTATTTTTCAATGCTCAAAAATAATTGTCAGCCATTATGGATTGGTAAAATTTTAAAATTTTGATTTTAGTTCAGAACCTTCTTTACTACTTTACCTTTATGCTATCAAAATTTGGTTCAAATATTATTTACAGATTTTGAGAAACTAATGTTTAAAATTTGATACTTTTTTAATAATTTTTGCTGACACAGCTTTTTTTTTTCAGCATTTTTAAAAACTTTTTATCAAATTTTTTTTTTCATTAAATATATCAACAGTAAACTTAGTGCAAAGACATTTTTTTTAATTTTTAAAGAATTTAGAAAAAAAGGGGTAGAGCCACCTTAAGATAACAAATTTTATTTTCAAAAGAAAAATTCAATCTGAGAGGGGATACTAAAAGTTAATAACTCCTGTATAATATAATAAAAGTTAACTTCATATTAATCTTAATAAATAATTAATGTTTATGTTATAAAAAATATTACAAGAATTTAGTTGATATTTTAAAGAATGACAAAGTGTTATTATTTTGTGTTGAACTTAGGAATGTCGATAAAAATGGTTCTACCTTACACTGATTTGACCTATGTCAGTTGTAAATTAATCTAATGTGTTAAATAATAATTAGTAAATTATTTTACCTCCTCATACTTTTTATGTTAATTTTACCGAGAGATCAATTTGTTCAATTTAAAGGCGTTTTTCTAAAGGGGGTATTAGTTAAAAATTTGCAACTTTAAATTGTGGAAAACAGCCACTATAAATTTATTATGTAACAGACCGACCATAACCTTTACTTTTTGCTAATTTATATAATTGCGCTTTTTGAAGTTCTGACGATAAAATACAAATTCTTTATTACTAATAACATTAGGGATTTTCTAAAGATTTATATTTTCAATTTAAAACACGTTTTATTGTAAATTTTTATTCTGCTTTATGTCTGGACGTAAAAAGGTTTTAAACTTGTTTAAGGTTCGAATAATAAGATTATTATAATCTTCTTTTAGAAGCCTTGTTTGTTTGTTTAGTGAACGAAGACAAATGTAAACAAACAGGAAAAAAAAAAAGAAAAAAGCAAAATTAAAGCAAATGCTGTTGACGTGGTGCGTAAATTTCTTCTAAAGATATCTGGATGGTATAATTTTTTTTCCTTTCTCTTTATTTATTCCCTTGTACTTTTTTGCTTTATTTTTTTCCAAAAAAATATCCTACTTTGTGTATATTTTATATAAAACTGTTATGTTGTACGTAATTATTTATCAATTACGGAATCAAATGTCGGGGATTGGTGACAAATTGTGTCTTCTTCTTGTCTCGGCCATCGGTATTTATATTGAAATATTAATTGCTTTTATATATTTATACGGCAATACATAAAAGCAAAAAAGTTTAACTTCTATATTTAAACTAACTTGTCTTCACAAAAAAAGAGTAAAGACAAATCCTGATCAAAAGTACCATAGGTACCATCTTAACTTGTAAAGAGCACCTATAAATTTATGAAAAAGAATTCAAAATTAATAACGTCTTTTTAGAAAAAACAATACCTTTTTTGTGATGTACTTTTTCACAAGCTTTGCTACAATTAAACCATAATCCTCTGTGCGAAAAAGAAGCCGATAACCAATAGTTTCCTGTGATGGAAAATATAGCAAATGCTACGCCGACACAAATTAGCCCACAGTTTATAATACTTAATAAAGCCATTTTATCACTTTTTTACGCAACTTATAATTTAGATATCCTTCGCGCTGTTAATGAATGGCATATAACCATCTGCATAATAATTTGATTACGTAAGGTTATTGAAATCTGACATCAAACGAGTTCTTATTTCATTTTTTAATCAAAACCCATTGTTTTATGAGAAAATTCATATCATATATCATTTATATTATTGATATATGATACGAATATGGTAAAATGATATCAGATATCAAACATACGATTGATAGGCTTTACCCAGTAAGCACAAGACGCATTTTAGACACTTATAGACGTCTAAAACTAGTCTAGGTAAAGACGCACTTTTATAGGCGTTAAAAAGACATCTTTTGACGTCTTTTATGAATGCGTTTTTAATATGACGTTTAAAAGGCGTCTATTTAAGCGTTAAAAAAACGTATAGAAGATATCTTTTTTTAAGACATCTTCTAGACGTCTTTAATAAATGCAATTTTAACATGACGTTTAAAATGCGTCTTTTTAAAGTTTAAAAATACGTTTAAAAGACGCGTAATAAATAGTCTAAAATACGCATTAAAAGACGTCTCGATCAAAGCTAAAAGACGTCTTTTCTGAGACCTGTTTATAAATATGTCATTATGACTTCTTTTTGACGGCTTTGTCATTACGCGTTAAGTAGATGTCGTATATTCAAAGTAAAAACATAGTTTTTATTATTTTCAATAATTTGTTTAAGTTTTAAGTGTAAATTACTTTAAATTAAATTACTTTTTTACACAATTGCTAAAATTGTTGTCACAAGAATCACTAAAATAATTGCTATAATATTAATATATCTTTTTTTTATTAATAATTATTTTGCTTTTTTAATAGATAGTTGACTGATCATGATAATAAGTGAAAATGGCAAGAATAATATATAAGTTAAATATCAGTATTTTTAGTTTTTATACACCCACAAGCCATATAATAAGTCAAGTATGCGGTCAAAAATTAGCTAGCAATTGGTATGATAAATTTTTATAACTAAAGGTTAGTTGTAAATGTTTTAAATACTGTTTTGAGATATATTTGTTATTGTTTTTTATTATTTTCATCTTTGATGCATCAACCGTTGGTGGTGATTACAGCAATATTATTTTGATTGCTGGTTCCTATGTATATTTTGTATATACGAAATTATAACAATAAATGATGTTATAAATACAATGAATATACACCACATACTACGCGAAAATGTTACGTCATGTACTTACATTTATCTCAATAAAAACGTCTAACATACGTCTAAAACGCGTTTTTATAAAGACGTCTTCATTTAGACGTCTTTTAGCCTTATGATCTAGACGTCTACAAGTGCGCCTTTTAGACTTCCTTAAAAACATCTTTAAAACGTCTTTTAAACGTCTTTGTGCTTACTGGGTATTGATACATATTAGTTTCATAATTTATACACGTTCATAAAACTATGAACGTATGTTTGATATCTGATATAAATTATGGCATTTATATCAGATATCAAACATACGATTGATAGGCTTTATTGATAAATATTAATTTCATAATTTATACACGTTGAAAAATAAAAATAAATACAATTTAAGAAATGATAATTTAATTCGTCAACCATTTTTTTAGACTAACTTTGGAAAATCTAGTATTTTTTTTCGAGGAACTTTTTTTTGGAAAAAAATAGTTTTAAAACATTTTAATTTTTCTTTGCAATGGAGTTATTTTTCATTCAGAAATAAGCTTAAAGAATCATTTTGTCTCATGATGATGTATTGTCATATTTTTAAACGTTATTAATTTGATGTATTATTTTAGTTTATTCAGTTTATAAAATTGCTTGAGTTGGGTAGCCGCAAAAACACAATTAATGGTCCAACAAAGGTTTGTCAAAGCAGAACAACAGACATTGGGACGATACTGGCCCATCAGTGGTAAAATCAAATTAATAATGATATGAATAAGAGCATTTGCGTTTACTGCGCAAATTTTTGGATCCATCTTTGAAGTCATTTTTTTTCACATTTCATACAGATATATCTTAAAACTTTATTGCTTAAAAAAATACTTTCAGGTGAATCTATATTGCGCACATAATAGTTTCTAAATAAATTTTAAAAATTGATATTTATAAAAAGAAATTTATGTTTTTTAAATAATTTTTAAATAAATTATTGCAAATAATTCTTTTGTTATATAAATAAAGTTTCGTATGGGATGTATTATTACTTTACAAATAATCATAAATGATATATTGACATAATGATCATGATATATTAACATTGTTTACATCAAACATTAACCATTAGATTGGTTTAATGTTTAAATTATTTATTTTTTCACCAAGCTAAAACTGGTTTAAGAAACTTAAAACCTAAGTTAAATAAACATAAAACATAATTTATGGTGACTGAAGAATGATTGATATTGATAAAAAAAATTGATAGAGCATGGAATGATAACCTTAGAGCTGGTTTTTGCAAAACTGGATTTTTTCTATTAGACAAGTCTCAAGCTTTCACGACTACCATGTTGTAATGTAGGTTTAGACTCAACTACTGATTCAGTAAGCCAATCATTTTTAGATCATTTATGTAAGTCACTGGATAATCCCTCAGATGGTTCTAAAAAACCAAAGCGACGTATAGTATGTGCTGTCCCAGGTAAAAGCTTATGTTCAACAGATGTATCATCTTGTGTAATAAATGAAAATAATAGATTAAATTCAAATAATATAGTTACACCTATCAGTATTATAAATACAATTGAGACCAATAACATTGACTTTGCTGGCCCAAGTAGAAATACTGGAACTACTGAGACTTCTAATCTAATTTTTGCAGATGTAAGTTTAGTTAAAGAAAGTCATTCAGAATCTTTAGATCATTCAGCATTAGGCAAAAAGAACTTTCAAAATATTGATAAAACAAAAAATATTTGTAAAAAATTATTAAATTTTGTAGAGAAATGTAATGTAATTGTTAAATGCAATGAAGAGTTGAATCCTGGACAGATTTGTTTATTCATTTTGAGTTATTTAAATTCAGCTAGTCAATTAGTAAACTTTATAACTAATTAATTTAATAACTAATATTATTTAATGAAACTACTGAAAAATTAAAAAAAAAACTTTTGAAATTTTTTTTTCTGCAGTTGAAAAAATTAAGATAAAATGAAGCAGAAATTACTATTATGAAAAAAAAGGACTTAACTGGAAATGGTCACTACCAGCAGAGCAACTTTTTTTTCCCCAGTCTGAAATAGTCGATTTTATTGAGGAACCAAAGAAACTTTTGAAAAGAGGAATTTATTCAGTTCCAGAACTTTTTCACTAAATTTTTTGAAACATTATTTTTGTCATTTTTGTTTACTTTATATACCTAAGCTGTTTTGTTTACTTGGTACCTATATTTGTTTAGTTTGTACCTATATTTTATTTACTATATACAAGAACTTTGTTACTAAATCTTTTTTTATCACTTTATTTTTGTAAATTTATTTTCTTTGCTTAAATATTGTTGTTTTTATTGTTGTTTTGCTTCCTTTAATTCCTTTTTAGGGCGACTTTGGCCCACCATTTAAACCACCCAAAAGATACTTCAGGTAAATAATTTTTAAATGGGAGACATATAGTTCTAACTGTCCTTTCTATGCGCTTCTAAAAGTACTTTGATGCAAAATGCAATAGACATTAAGATGCAAAATTTTTTCTTTATTCTCTTCTCATCTTTGCTAATGTTGTATTGTTTGAAGTCAAAAAAGAAACTTTTTACTTAATAACATTGCTAGTTTACAACGCGCATCTATTAGAATTATGACGTTTTCCCCAATGAGATCTGATATCGAAAAAAAATTTTCTGAACTAAAAATCCTAAAACTCCATAATCTTGTAAAGTTTTATAATTGCCTTATTGTGTTTGACTTTCTCCAAAATAAACTACCAAGCCCTTTTTCAAATTTTTTTATTAAAACAAACGAAGTTCATAATCATCACACCGGGAATAGAGAAAATAGTAAGCTATACTATTCTTTTTTCAACACAATCAAATATGGTAAGTTTTCCATAAAACAACAATGTATTTCTCAATGGAATCAGTGTATTTCTGCATTAATAAAAAAGTCAAAGAAAAAATATCCACTTGTTACAAATTTTTTCTGCTCAACAGAATTCAATTTAAAAATATATTGTTGGGGTGTATTTCTTTATAGTTTCTCTTTGTTCTGTAGTTGTCTTCAATATATAATCTCTTTAACAAACAAGTGGTTTAATTTTTATTTTATTTATTATTTACCAATCTTATATTTATTTATTATTGTGTTATTAATGTTACATTTTATGTTATTATTATATCTAATTATCAGCTATGATTTGTACATACAATTTATACTGTATTATAAAATTCTTAATATTATTGGTACTTTATTATTATTATTATTATTTTGTATTATTACTATTATTATTACATATATCATTATTATTTGTTTAACTATATATATTTACTTTTTTTTTTTTTCGTGAAATTTTTATGGTTTTTAGGTGTCACTCCATTGACTAGTTTGTAACCATAACAGTGACGCCTAACTAATTTATATTAATTCACGATGAAATTTGTAAATTTTATTGATATGGTTGAATAAAAAAAAAACAGCACAATTAATGACATAAAATTTTACGCAAACGAAAAGAAAAAACTTAAAGTTACAAAATGAACGCAAAAACTACAAACCAAATATAAAAATACAAAAAAAATTGAATAGATAATCAAAATCTTCTGTTATTTTTGGCATAAAAAAAAATGAGTAAAAAAATTTTTTAGCGATTTATTTTTAAATTTTAATTAGTTCTTTTTAATATTATTTTGAAACATTTTCTACCTTATTTTCTTTTAACATGGTACTTTCCTTTTAAAGCGATTTTTATCAATATTTTATATTAATGAATACAGTTCTACGCAAGGAATTAAATTGGAATAAAATATCCCGAGGTCCATCTAATGCAAATATGAAAACAAAAACTTTGAAAAAGTAACTTTAGGTGAACCATTTATTGTTTTGCGAGGCCAAATCATCTTTGGTTAATCAGACTTACG